GCCTCACTGATATTCTGAGATGTGGGAACAGGGTGAGCGGTAAAGCATTCTAGGAAAGTTCTTTGCAGGAAAATGCAGCTGTCTGGAACACACTACCCATCAGGTGAGGATTGTTGAGCATTCAGTGGGGAAACCGCTCTTCCAAGGGAGAGTTCCTTCAGCAGCTTCTCCAGGTGATCAGATGCAGCCCCACGGATGGTGGTGCAGGCTCTGAACCTCTGCAGTGTGTGGTGGGGCTTGAGGAGACTGCTTGCAGCCGTGTTCCATCTGATCCAGCCAGGTTTCTAGGGTAGTGCTGTCTAGAAAAAGACACTGTGAGATGCATTTGTAGTTTTAAATCCTCCCTTTCCCCATCAATATTAAAAAGTAAAGAAATCAACTTAGGAGAACTTTTGGGTATCCCAGACAGTAATTTTTATATCTGTAATAAAAGTTATGAATAAGAAGACATCCTCTTTCACAATAAGTTCATAGTTGTATATTGAACATTCATGTTCTTTTTGTGCTCTGCTTGAAACCCAGATGTCTAATGTGCAGTACATTCTAGAAGGTAATTGCTTAGCATAGTAGCTTAAAGAACTATGTGCACACATTCACATGTGTACCCGCGTGTACTCTGGTCTTGTTTTGTCCTTGAGATAGGATCTTGCTGTATTGTAAGGTGGGGCTTGGAGATCATCCCACATCCTTTCCCTAAGAGCTGGAATTGCAGGTGTGCACCACCACTCACTTATATTGCATACAAAGTATTGCATGATGTTCAAAGAGAAAGGTAAAGAAAATAGATGGTTTGATTCTATGCATGTCTTCATTTTATCATTGGTTCTCTTGTGACTTCAGAGTAGAGAAATTCTTTGTACTTTTTGCTTAGTGGCTCTTAAACTGCTCCTCAGCACTGACTTGTGATTCTCAGAATCTACTCCAGGATGTTGCCTGGGTGAGCCTCTAAGTGACTTTTAAGCTTTAGTTCAGGGAGAGAGAATCCACATTGTCACCAGTCCTCACTACTAGTAGATTACCCAGAGCACTGTCAGCTCAGAACTCAGTGCTCAACAAGAAAAACTAATAGTCATTCACGTTGTTAGAGAAATTTCACAGATATACATTAAAGATACCTTTCCCTTCAGTACTAGGGATTGAATCCAGGCTCTGTACATGCTAGACAAGTATCTATTTTTGAACAATATATCTAGCCCAGTGACAGGCAAATGCTGTACCACTGGCTCCATCCTGGCTGATGTCTCGGAGGTCTGCATCTCCAGCCTCCCAACTTGGTGGTTTAGCAGCAGACTGCATTCTAAATCTTAGTTTTGTTCTATCAACAGGACCCAGGACAAGTTAAAATAACTCTTCTGCATGCTTTTTTACCTACCAAAGGTCAACATATGCCTTCTTCCGAGTTTTTAATGAATCATTCTAGCTCATACCTAGAATGTCAGTTGTTCTCTTAAGTAGCATCAGTGTCAGAGAACAAAAAAGTAAGGAAGCGCAGAGCTGAGATGGTCATGGCTGTCTCTTTTCTTGCATCCTAGCTCGGGATCCTGAAGCTGTGCTGCGGCTACACCAGCACAGGACCCATCCTGAGCTCATGGCTTTGTTTCCATCTTGTCCTACTAAGAACTGGACTTCTTCTCTTTTAAAATGATCCTCTTACTTCATATAGTGCATGAAGAAAAAACCATAAACTTCTAAACCTCAAAGTCGGTGTTAAAATAATGTTCTTTCTAAAATAGTCTCTCCTAGGAGTGATTTGGCATGGCTTGCCATCCCTGCTGGCAGTGACAGGTGGTGACAAATGTGGGTTGTGAGGTAGAGTTATTTGATTTGTAACTTTGAGTAGCAGTTGACATTTTTACATGTAGAGGCATCTTTTTGACAATTTATAGTTACGTTGTTTTGTTTGTAAACCATGGCTTTTTAAGGTTTTATTTGGTCCACTGAGGACTTCAGATGCCTTACAGAATTAGATTTGCCCATAGAGTAATTATTTTTCAAATTAGGATAATTATGTCCAACATCTGATCACTACTTTCTGTAGCAAAGAGAATGATGAGAAATACTATCCAGACTGCCAATAAAAAATTAATGAATGAATGTATGTCTAGGTAGTAATTGAACTATACCTAGACTTACCAAGAAGGTAATTGGGCAGATTAATTCGGGAACATGATTTATTTTCTGTCTTTTCTTTTTTACAAGTAGGGACATACTATGTAGCCCAGGTTTTCCTCCTATGTGTAATCTTTCTGTCTTAGCCATTTTAGTCCTGGAATTACAAATATGCTTTGCCATGCCCAGCCATAATATTATAATTAGACTAAAATTAACCAAAAAAAAGGAAAAAAACCTCATTTTTTAAATGTGTAGTATGTTACTTGTAAATAAAAGTGTGAATGAATGTAATCATTAAAAAAAATTAGGAAATATCTAGATACAAGAAACTATTCTTGTACAAATCCCAACACCTGGGATAGGAGCTGTAATTCTCTGAGAAAAGTACTTGCCGCATAAGCTTGAGGACCTGTGTTTTTGTCTCCGGAACCCATATAAAGCCAGATGTGGTGAGATGTGTGAGTGATACCAGCACTCTAATGGAGAACCTTTAGACGTGGAAACAAGAGAACCACTGGAATCTTGTGGGCCAGCTGGCCTGGCTAATCCAGTGGTGAATAACAAGGGCCCTTGTCTCTAGCACATAGATGGCGAGGAATGGCATGCAGGGTTTCCCACCTCCTACATGCACCTTGCATGTTTATGCCTCCCATAGTCATGAGAACACACATACACAAAGTAAAAGTTAAACATAGAAAGACAATCATATATTTAAATGTCTAAAATATGTGAACATTTGCATTTACACTTTATTTATTTATTTATTTATTTTTGTTTTTTGAGACAGGGTTTCTCTGTAGCTTTGGAGCCTGTCCTGGAACTCCCTTTGTAGACCAGGCTGGCCTCAAACTCACAGAGCTCCTCCTGCCTCTGCCTCCCAAGTGCTGGGATTAAAGGCGTGCGCCACCACCGCCCAGCAACATTAATGATCTCAGACTGTTTGACTGAGACTGTGTAGAAATGTTTGTCCTGGTGAGTGAGTACTGTGTAGACATGTTTGTCTTGATGAATGAGTACTGCGTAGACATGTTTGTCTTAGTGACTGATCCTAGTGAATTAGTATGCTGTAGACATGTTTCTCCTAGTTCTCTAGCAGGCTGGTACTTTAAAGTTTTCATAGTATTTCTGAACCTCCATTCAATTCCTTTGTTATGTTCTTTAGTCAAAAGGAGAAGAAAGAAAAGAAACCGACCGTTGGCATATTTGGGATGGTGAGTTTGGGATTCATTCATTGTTTAAAATACGTCACAAAAGAGATATTCCATGTGGTATTAGGCTTTTTTAGGAGGTGGAGCTGGGGGTGACGTTAACTGAGGATTTAGCTTATTTTCAGAAGAATGGCAAGCATAATTTGCCATGGACTGAACCTCAGTAGCTTCCCCTTCCTGGCTTAGATTTCAATGTTTTCCAAATTAGTTATGTTACCAGTTATCTTTTACCTGTATTTTTCTTGATGGTCCTTGCCGGCGAGGTGGAGGAATGCTTCTGCATCCCCTGCTGTCTTGTTTGGTACAGGTTATGGCAGGGTATTGCTGTGTGTATACGGATGGCCTCAGACTCCTGACCCTTCTACCTCCTTCCTCCTGGGAATTACTGTTGTATCACTATGCTTGGTAACATGCCATCCTTCAAGGCCCTGAAGTCCTGGGTACTGGGATTACCATTATATCACCATGCTTGATAATATGACATCTTTCAAGCTTCTGAAGTCCTGACAGGTTTGCCTCAAAGCCTATCCACCCATGTTTGAAGAGTTTATCTAAATTTTTTATTATTTCTACCCTCATCCCACTCACCCCCATCCAAAAAGGACCATCAAATCTTTCTAATCCCCTCCCTACTACTTTTCGTGTCTCTCTATATGTATCCGGGGTCCTCCAAAGCCTCTGTGGCTAATTCTGGTAGCTCGCTGCTAACTCTGCACCCTGATTCAAGGCCAAGCTTTATTGGCAGTCTCGTGGTGTCAGTGTGAACACATATCCTGAAATACATGCTAAGAAAGGTTGTGGTGGATTATTGAGTCCTAGGATTTAACAGTCAGGGTCTTCTCTCTCCTGGTAAATGTGGAAACACGCTTACAGCCATGTGGAGAAAGGTATTTCTTCTCACTGACTGTATTCCAGTCAAAGTATTCATGTACGCCACCACGGGATGAGAAGTAATTTCTACCTTTTCAAAACATTATTTTTCTTCTGTCATCTTCTTTGAAACTTTAAAAATTTTCATCAGATATTACCAAAGAGAAGACACCTGCTGAATTCAGGAGGAATAGTTAGTACAGGGGGCGGAAGAAATAGGTCAGCTGTTCAATACACTCGCTGCTTTTACAGAGGAGTAGAGTTCAGTTGCCACACCCATGCCAGGGAACTCCCCACCCTATAGCTCCAGCTCTATGGGATCTGATGTTCTCTTCTGGCCTTTGGCAACACTCACATTCATGCCCCCCCCCACATATGCACATAGATAAAAATAAATAAATTAAAAAAGAATTGGTACAGCGCATGGTGAGGTGATTGCCGAAGTTCAGCACCAGTAGCGGTGTGTGCGTGGTGTGCGGCAGTAGCCGTGACAGTCTGAAATGGGCTTGACTTTGGGGTCTGTTTAGAAGCACCATCCATGGTGTCGTGCGCTCACTGTGCGCCTGCGCTCACTGTGCGCCTGCGCTCACTGTGCGCCTGCGCTCACTGTGCGCCTGCGCTCACTGTGCGCCTGCGCTCACTGTGCGCCTGCGCTCACTGTGCGCCTGCGCTCACTGTGCGCCTGCGCTCACTGTGCGCCTGCTCTTCTTCCTCCTAGTTTCGCTATGCGGATTGGCTGGACAAGCTCTACATGGCCCTGGGAACGCTAGCTGCTGTCATCCATGGGACTGCACTTCCCCTCTTGATGCTGGTGTTTGGTCACATGACAGATAGTTTTACAAAAGCAGAAACTGGTATTCCATCAAACATTACTAATCAAAGTAAGGATTATTTGTGGTACCGAAGTTATTGGAATTTTGTAAATAACATTCACTTAATGTACCATTTGCAGTGCTGTTGTTTTGTGCTGTGAAAGGTGGAGGGTCGGAGCTCCAGCTCTTGCTTGTAATGAGTTTGAGAAGATCGTGTTAATGGGCGCTAGAACACCCAGGACAAGTGTTGGCAGAGATATGTAGAAAAGGAAGGAGCTCTGTGAAGTTGCCTTTGACAACTTCAGGAGGAAGTACAGGAATCTAATCCACTGTGAATGGTGAGCGGCACTAGTTACGAGTCCGGGGCTTGAGTGTAAGCGAGGACTGAGGATGATGCTGCTGCTTTAGCCTGAGAAACTGAAGGACGTGGTTACTCTCAGAGGAGATGAGAAAGAGGAAGGGAGAGACGTCTGCACAGTTTCGTGTGTGGTCATGTGTTGGCCTGTCAGAAAGCAGTCCCAGTATTGAAGAAATGAAATGAGGTCTGAGACAGTTGTTTATAAGAAAGAGATGATTTCATATGATGCAGTTTCATGGTTCACTGCAGGAGCCTGAAACCTCAGAAAGTCTAACTTTACATAAAGAGGGGACTGGCAGAACTTAATTTTCTCAGCAAGATTGGAAGCAGGAAAGTGATGGATAAGGAAAGATGTTAAAAAAGCACCCTGGGGGAGTGAAGAAATGAGTAAGCTGTGGAAATCCTTTCCCTCATCTAACACAGACATCCTTGACTTGGTGGACACAGGCTAGCTCCGAGCTTCAGTGTGCAGGTCACTGTTGGTCATGCAGAGATTGAGTTAAAGTAAACTACTAGAGACTTACAGCTCTGTTGTACTCAGTTAACATGTTGGCGAGTTACAGTTATATATTTAGAAGTGTGTGTGCCTGTACGTGTGCTAGTGTGTGTGTGTGTGTGTGTGTGTGTGTGTGTGTGTGACAACAATTAATGAAAAAGGAAGGCAAGGATTTGAAAGAGAGCAAGGAGTATATGGGAGGATTTGGAGGGAGAAAAGGGAAGGGGGAAGTGACATAATTATACTGTAATCTCACATTTTGCAATGACTGTAAGATTCAAAATGTGCCTTTTGTTGACCTAGCCATCTTGATTATGATAATTTTTCTAATACAGTACTTACCATATAGACACATATGTGTACACATATGCTTAAGCAGTATTATTTGTCTGTTTATGTGGTACTGGATCAAACCCATGGAATAGTGTTTGCTTGGTAAGTAGACTCACTGAGTGATGTTTCCAATAACAGTTTGATATTGAAACAACCAAAATGTATGCAGACTTAAAATTGATACAAGCATACACTGACAAGAAGAGTTGGTGCTGAATATAGACCAAGATTCACACTTGTTACTTTTTAAAAAGTATTTTTAAAGTTTTTATATACATGCACATATATTAAATAAAATTGACAACTTACACAAAAATGTTGACTAGTAGTTATGTATGTCTATGTGAATGTTTAAAGTTTGGGGTTTCTAATGTATTTGGTTCAGACAATTAGCTCTTCCTAATATTGGATAACGCTCTGTTGTAATGGTAAGCCACTTGTTTGTTCCTGGCTGCTCAGCCACGAAATAATCACACAGAAACTGTATTAATTACAACATTGCTTGGCCTATTAGTTTATGTATATTTCTAGTCACTTTTATCTCCTAAATTAACCCATTTCTATTATTTTATGTTTTACTATAAGACTCCTGACCCTCAGGTTCCGCCATGTCTGTCTCTGGTGGCGGCTCCATGGCTTTTCCTGACTCCACCTTCTTTCTCCCAGCATTCAGTTTAGTTTTCCCTGCCTACCTCTATTCTGCCCTGTCACGCACAAGACAGATTTCTTTATTTACCAATGATATTCACAGCATACTGAGGGGAATCTCACATAACTCTGTTCTTTATGATAATTGTGAAATAACCATGAAACAGAGAAATACCGTATTAGTGTTTGCATATGTGCCCATGTCCAGTCACACTGCTATTTCTTTGTCACTGTGGGTTTCCTCTTGAAAATGAGCACCATTGAATGTAAGCTTTGTGTAGTAGCTCATGGCCAACACAGAACTGTTTGAATGGATGTCATTAAAGCTTGGATTGAAACTAAAGTTGAATTTTACTGATCACTTGGTCCTATTTTTGTATAGATTTTCAAGTGAAACGAATTTGGGTTTTTTTTATATGTTTATTATTATTGGAGTGCAAAAAGGCATAAATGGCCCAGCTCTGTTTTCTACTTGTCTAGGTGAAGTCAACAGTACAGAGAATGTCAGCAGCAACCACCTGGAGGAAGATATGGCCACGTAATTCAACACTTTCTTTATTTTTCCATTAATCTTTTATACATTAATCTGGTTATAATGATCTATAAAATTTCTCACTCATATAATTTGAAGTTGAATTAAAAATCATTGAATATAGCTTTGTAATTATTAATGTACCTCTTACACAGTATCCCTAGTAAAAATTATAATAATATTGGATAGCAGGGAAATTTTAAACTTGGCATCTAATTGTAAATATGAACTAAAGCATCCTAAAATAACTAAAATAACAGCAGTTGGGAGAAAGGGACAGGTGGATCTCTGTGAGTTCAAGGCCTGCCTAGTCTACAAAGAGAGTTCCAGGACAGCCAGAGCTGTTACACAGAAGGACCCTGTCTTTGAAACACAAAAAAACAACCCCCCCCCAAACAAAACAAATTTGTGGAATTAACAAATGTTTAATTTTTACCTTGGTTTAACTAAGGAATATATTTTGCTTATGATTTACAGGCTTTAACGTTTTTCTGAAGAATATCTTTTTTTTCCTGAAGAATATCTTTGAACAAATGTACAAAGATCCATGACAGTATTCAGATAATTTGACTCTACATTATTCTATGGATGCCTTGACATGTTCCTTGATTATATTTGAATGAGAAGACATAAATACACTGACCACTATTGTACAGAGGCATTATTCTTTTTATATTGTAATAACTTTAAGTCTTTCTTTTTCTTTCTTCTTTTTTTGGGACAGGGTCTGACCTCTTGATGCAGCCCAGGCTGCTCTCAAGCTTATGGCCTCCCTTCTGCCCTAGCCTTACAAGTCCTGGGATGACAGGCTCAAGCAACAATGCCCAGTTAACAGAAACATCTTGATTGTTTAAAATATATTGCCAAGGCTAGGAATGATGACCCATCTTAGCACTGTGAAGGTTCTGGCAGGAGGGCTGTGAGATTGAGGCCAGCCTAGGCTATATGGCAAGACCCTGTCCTTTACAAAAAGACCTAAACTCTGAAAGAATGAACAAATTAATGAAACTAAAGAGCTTTCAAGTTGTTCCCTAACCATAAGATATACTTTTTTAAATGGGGTTACCCTTGCTGTATCATTAGCACATGAAAAATGATTAATTCTAGACTCATCTGTTAGGGAGAAGCTTTCTAGTTGCCCCATATCTTTTTGGAAGCTATGAGCTATATCAGGGTGTGATGTGTTTGCAGGATTCCTGACAGGTTGAGGACAGAGCTGTTGAATACCACATGAGGGACACCCTTCCTTCTAAGTAATGCTGATGCTTCCCATGACACCCTTCAGTTTTCAGGAGAAAACAAGTAGAACTTCTCCTTTTCAAGATGGGGACATCGGAAGGTTTGCCTTTTATCTGAACATGAACTGATCGCAGGAGCCAAGGTTTGCCCTTGTGAATGTGAAGACTCAGAACATGGGAATGTCAGTTCACCTTTTCTTAGTTTAATTTGAAGGCTTTCATTTTTCATAATTTCTGTTTAAATTAGAAGGGCTGCTCTTTGATTCCTTAAACATTTTAGGGTAGTTCAAAATGACCAATTGGGTAGGTACCGATAGTATTAATTTTCAGCTGTCGCTTATCAGCTGAGCTCTGTCAGTTTAGAGGGGCAAGGAGTCACTTCCATCCCTAGTTTCCACTTTCAGACAGGTCCTGTCATATGTCCCTTGACAAGCAGAGACAGCCCGGGCATGGGGCTTATTAACTGATGTTGATGTAATAGACTTAGGACTACAAGGGCATATGTCAGCAGACTTCCAATATACCACGCACTGTTCCATAGTAACTGATGTTCTCTGGGTGCTTGCTATATGTAAGGTACTGGCCCAAGCACCTTTCAGACATATTATATAACTGTTTTTACCTCCATTTTACTGGCTAGAACATTGGAGCCTAAGATGTTAAGCATCTTGCCTGAGTTTACACGGTAGTTCAGTGAAGAGCCGGCTTTACCCCAGAGCCATTCTTCTGTATCACTGCAGATATAGTCTCACGCTGACATGGCAGTTCTGCTCCTTACAGCCCCTTCCTGTCTGTTAAGGATGGTGGGATCCCCAGAGAGCTGAAGAAGTAAGGCTCAACTTACTTGTATTCAGAGGGAAGGACTGGTCATCAAACAGCACTACGGTGTTCTTGTTTTTCAGGTACGCCTACTATTACACGGGGATTGGTGCTGGTGTGCTCATAGTTGCCTACATTCAGGTTTCATTTTGGTGCCTGGCGGCTGGAAGACAAATACACAAAATTAGACAGAAGTTTTTCCATGCGATTATGAATCAGGAGATAGGCTGGTTTGACGTGCATGACGTTGGGGAGCTCAACACCCGGCTCGCAGAGTGAGTACCTAGTTTTATGCTGAAGTCAGATACACTTTTGTTCTCAATGCTGTGAAGTAGATACCAGCACCCTGTTAGAAGTGTAGGTGCATCACTGAGCAGAGTAAAGCCTTGTGAGCAGTACCTGTGTCTTACACAGCTTCTTGTTCCCAGTGCACTGGCAGAGATGGGGGGCGGAGCTGCTGCTTGCCTGGCACTCAATGAGGGACCAGACTGGCAGAGTCAAATGCAGAGTGAGCAGAGCAGTGATTGCAGGGAGCAGCAGTGTGGCCTGTCCAGCCCCACTGAGTACCATCCTGCTGGGGCTCCATGGTGGCCTTGGAAGACATTGGAAAGGAGGAGGGAGCTCCTGTCAGTCAGCCTCTGCTTCACAGAAGACACAGTGAACTCAGCGATTCGTGTTCATAGAGAACAGCGTCATATACACACATCCCTGAGCAGTTTGAAATTTCACAGTGAATTGTCTTAGACATCACATGTGTATTCATGCTGAGGCCACATGGACCATAGGGCAGCAACAGCTAACCCATCACGTGAAATACATACACTCTAGACGACAAATTAATTTATATCAGATTCAGTGATAACAATAACTGGATAAATTCTGTGCAAATCTGACATTATTTGTAACACGATCTCTTTTTTCTTTAGTGATGTCTTCAAAATTAATGAAGGAATTGGTGATAAAATTGGAATGTTTTTTCATTCCATAACATCATTTTTAGCTGGTTTCATAGTAGGATTTATCCGTGGTTGGAAGTTAACCCTTGTAATTTTGGCTGTCACCCCTCTTATTGGACTGTCATCTGCTATGTGGGCCAAGGTAGGTGAATCCAGAGTTCAGAACCCTCCCCAGAACCTCATGGGAAGGTCTTTAACCATGACAGTCCTGATGGTAGGCTTGCTACTTGCTTTAATCTTCTGTTTAACAGTCGACAGGAGAAGCTGATTCAGATCTACCGAGCTATTACTTGGGGAAAGTATAAGAAAGAAGGAAGGGGATGTTGTGTGTTCTCCACCTTTATAGAAAAGACATGCTTACCTGGAAATATCAGTGCTCAGTAGAGGACAACCCCATGTTCACTGTGAAGTGGCTCTCCCATGTCTACACCGCCCTCCAGTGGTTTCCAGAGCCTTCTGTCACTCTCAGCCTCAGATCATGGGGCTTCAGTTGTTCTTTTACCCAGTGAGCCCTCTCGTGGGCCTTTGCTAGTCTCATGTGGGCATGAGACTGTTTTGTTAATCCTGAAAAGTAGGAAGAGCTAGAGGGTCCCAGGCAGATCAGGCACCTGATCCAACGGTCTCTTTGTGTCCAGGATCTTTTCCTTGCTTAGACATTGGGTCAGTTAGAGGGTACTGGTAGGGAATCCAGTGCACTTTTTTCTCCCCGAAGATGCCTGATATTCAAAGACCTTGTTCTTTGTATGATTTCTGTACAAGCAACATTTTTATATCTATCTATTTTTTTTTTTTTACTCTGCAAAAGATAGAGTTGCTCCGCATTATTAAATGATACCAGATCACACTTTAACAGGTAATGACTTCATTCACTAATAAGGAACTCCTGGCTTATGCGAAAGCTGGAGCAGTTGCCGAAGAAGTCTTGGCTGCCATCAGAACTGTGATTGCATTTGGAGGACAAAAGAAAGAACTTGAAAGGTTTGGGCTTCTTTCTCTAGAAATGTAAAATTCTCTGTCCTTGCTAATATTCAGGAAAATTGCAATTCTAATTATGCTTTCCTAATACATGCCTTCAGAAGAAGGGGTTTTTATGTTCTGTTTACTTTTTGAAATGTTTGAAGGCCTATGTTTTCATTCTTACAGAAGAAAGAGATGGCACAGAAACTACAAATAAGGAGTATCTGGTACACAGACAACCTATTAGTCTGAGAAATAAAAGATTCTAAGAGAGTTATTGGAATTTATTTTTTAGAGAGACATAATATGCTTTGATAGAACTGAGGAGAGGACCTGAGTTCTTAGGGGCTCAACCACCTGTAACTCCAGCCCCAGGAGACCTTTTTTGAGCCTCCAGGAATATCTTTGCTTATACCTACCCTGTGGTGGTTTGAAAGAAATGGCCCCCTATGGGAGTGGCACTATTAGGATGTGTGGCCTTGTTAAAGGAAGTGTGTCATTGTGGAGGTGGGCTTTGAAGTCTTATATATGCTCAAGCCACTGCCAGTGTCTCAGTTTACTTCCTGTTGCCTGCGGATCAAAGATGGAGAATTCTCAGCAACTTCTCTAATACCATATCTGCTTGTATGTCACCCTGTTTCCTGCCATGGTGATAATGAATAACTAAACCTCTGAAACTATAAGCCCCCCATTAAGTGTTCTCCTTTATTAATAGCAATAGAACCCCAACTAAAACACTTCCCCCAACATAGTCTTTAAATATATGCTTTGATAAAAGAAATGTACTGAGGAATATGAGGAGGGCACATCTAGATATGGTCAAAGAATGTCTCTTAGATGAGATTTCAATTAGCCTGAGACCTGAGAGATGAAAATAAGTCTCCCATAGTGAGGGTGGGGATGGGGTCTGGGATAGCAAATGATCTAAATCTCCCAGCTTGGCAAAATCTTCAGTATGTTGTGGAAAATATCATCATGAAGCGTCTACTTCTGAAGCAATCAATCTATCCCACTTTCCCTTCAAAACATCAGCTATGGGAGGAAACCAACTCCTTTGGAATGGAAATTTAACCATAATTGTGACTGCATTTAATTCAAAGACATTTTACTTTTGTGTAGCCCTGTTTGTTGGGAGTTGCTCTACTTCCTGAGTGGCCAGATTTCTGTTCTGAGAGTCCTTACTTAGCCAGATATACTCAATATATGCCGTACTTTTTTCTCTAGCAGTTTCAAACTTGCCAATCTTATGTTTAGACTGTTTTGTCATGGAAAATTTCGTTTCTCTTTCAATTATGGCAGGCATTTTTCTTGGTTATTAGCAGTGTTCTTTGAGAATTTGAACTACATCATCCCAAACCCTTCTGGTTTTTATATTTTCTGTAGAAAAAAAAAATCAATTGTTATTCTGGTTGGTCCCTTATTGTATATGATTTGGGCCTTTTCTCCTGCAGCTTTTATCTCCCCTCATCTGCCCTATCTTTCTGTGTTTTTAGTGTTTTAACTATAACACGACACGGGGAGCTTCTTTCCTGTCCTGTCTCATAGGCGTTCTGTATGTGTTCTGTACCTAGATACACACCTGTTCTAGATGTGGCAACATTTCTTCTGTGCTTTTTGTTGAAAGTCTTTTCTGAGCCATTCTTGTTCTTCTATGCCCATCATTCATAGATTTGATCTTTTCATGGTATCTCAAAGTTCTCGCATGCTCTGTTTATGTGTTTTGTAAAAAATAAAAAAAAGCGTTTGAAAAAATTTTCAGTGTCTTTGACTGGATGGCACAATTCCTTTATCTTGATTCCTGCTAGACCATGTTCCATGTTCATTACCCAGTCTCTTCGGAAGAGTTTCTCCACTTTCCTTTTGATTTGACTTACTGAGTTTTGTGTCTTGAGCATCATTTTGACTTAAGTTTTCCTCAGTATTTCTGTCATTATTGAATTCTATTTTCATATCTTTAGTTGACTTCGACAGGTGTGTTCATGTTCTCCTTAAATTCTATGAGTGTGACTATAGTCATATTTTTAATTGTTTGGAATTTGAGATAAGTCCCTGACAGTACCATCCCTTCCCATGAGATTGGTACTTTTTGGAGGATACCTGCTGTCTTGGATTTTAATCTAATTTTTGGTTTTGTGATGGAACTTGTCCATCTGGAGTTAGTTTCATAGCAGAAATTGGTTTTTATGCACCACCTCTCTTTGGTAAGGGATGATGACCTGACATTTTTTATTGGGGTGTTGTGGCTCCTGTCACTGCTAAGACACTTTCTGTCAGTTTACTCAGGTAGGGAAGAGAAGAAGCAGGCGTGGTAGTTTAGTAGACTTGTGTGTCCCTGGCAGGCTGGCAGAGTGCAACTCAATAGCTCTGCTCTTCTGTGAAATGTAAGCCTGATCCAGGCTGCAGTCTTTTGCTAGGAGCCTCTGGTTTCTACTGCACCCCTAGACCAGTCTGTGCCTCCACTGTCCCGTGCTGTCACATGGTGCCTGCAGCTTCCCCGGCCTGTACTCTCCATATATTCACACGCCAAAATCATTTCTGTAGAACAGTGATTTTAATAACTGCTTCTATAAAAATAAGATAAAGCGTATGGCTTGTTTGTTTCTAACAGGGAACACTTTGCTGTATGGCTTCGTCTGGCCTGGAGCTCTCAGTTCTCTTGCTTGGGCTGCCTTGGGTCTGGGATTGTTGGTGTGCGCACAGCTCTTCAGCTGATTGAGTACAGCTTTTTTAAATACCAAAAACATGGTTTAACATGTCACAGTTTTCAGAGTGCTCTCCTCTGTAGAATCTCCCAATTTATTTTCCTAGTATCCCCAAGGGAGCAAACTGTTTTTAGAACTTTCTTAAGGTCCAGAGCTTTAAGTAGCTTTTTTATGTTAAGGTTTTCTAGCATTATATCTCCAATTCATTAACTATCTGCTCCTCCTTCCTGTTCTTCCTTCTTTGTTCTTCACCCTTTCCTTCTCACATTTTCTGAATTCTTCTTTCTTGCCCGTTTTCATCTTCCTTCCCATGCTTTTTCTTTTTCCCATCCCTCTTCCCCAAAGAGGACAGGCTGGCCTTGAACTTGCATTTCTCCTGCTTCAGCCTCCTTAGTGCTAGGATCATAGACAGAGCTACCATGAGCAGTGGTTTTTCTTGTGGGTTGTGTGTGTGTGTGTGTGTGTGTACGTGTGTGCGTGTATGCATGCAATAATATGTGCTTTTGATAAATTTTTATTATTTCATGATTACTAAAGCCAGAAAAGATTTAAGCCTCAGTTACTCTTCAGTGAAGGAATCAAATAATAATAGATCTCAGGGGCAATGTATGGAGATAAGAGGAAAACATATGTACTACAGGGCTGGTACATTCCAACTGCTCAAGTAACTCCCTTGTTACATTGATACAGTTCCTCAATCTTTATGAGTACATGTAACATGTAATGATTTCTGTTTCTTTTTTCCAGGTACAATAAAAATTTAGAAGAAGCTAAAAATGTTGGAATAAAAAAAGCTATCACAGGTGGCATTTCCATAGGTATTGCCTACCTATTGGTCTATGCATCATACGCACTAGCATTCTGGTACGGGACCTCTTTGGTCCTCTCAAATGAGTACTCTGTTGGACAAGTGATTACCGTAAGTCATATGTGCTTTGTAAAAGGATTCACTAAAAGTGCCATTTCAATTGAGTAGTTTTAATTTAATCTTAGAAGAATGTGTTTTGAAACCTATTAAATACTATAAAGAAACATTCATTCAGTTACTAGGTTCAAGAGTGGAGGGGAAATTAGATGTATCCAAAAATCAATATTGTTGTCTTTCTTACAGATATCTTTAAAAAAAACTTATTCTTAAGTTGGGCACTCAGAAGGCAAAGGCAGGTGAATCTCTGTGAGTTCAAGGCCAGCCTGGTCTACAAGAGCTAGTTTCAAGGCAGGCTCCAAAGCTACAGAGAAACCCTGTCTCGAAAAACCAGGGGGAAAAAAGCAAACTTATTCTTTTTGTTTCAATGTTGCGCTAAAGAATAAAAAAGTCTTCCTCTTGGAGTATTATAAACCAGTGTCTTAGTCACTGAACCATTGCAGTGAAGAGACACCATGCCCAAGGCAACTCTTATAAAAGAAAGCATTTAATTGGGGGCTTGTTTAAAGTTTCAGAGAGTTAGTCCATTATCATCACGGTGAGGTGCATGGTGGCACACAGCCAGACATGGTGCTGGAGAAGTTGTTGAGGGCTACCTCCTGATCCAAAAGCAAAGAGATAGGAGGGGGGAAGGAGTCCAGCACAAGCTTTTGAAAACCTCAAAGCCCACCCCCAGTGATCCCAGTGGTATACTTCCTATACTTCCTCCAACAAGACCAAACCTACTCCAACAAGATCACATTTCATTCTTATCATCTTGTCAAAGAGTTCCACTCCCTGATGACTAAGCACTCAAATAGTAGGAGTCTCCTGTGGTCATTGTTACTCAAACTACCCAAACTAAGAATGAGTCCTCTTTGAATTCTTCACTTTTCTCCCTGTGTCGTCTCTTTGACGTCTGTCTGTCTGCACTTACAAAGGGCTTTGCTCTACTTCCATTGAACAGCATAGAAAAACATGGTACTGGAAAGGAATGAAAAATTCTTCTTTACTGAAAAATTTAATAGAGGTTTACAAGTGACGGTGCTACTTTACTGACCCTAAATAGCACCCAGAACTGCAGGCAGACATTATCAACCTGTACCCACTTATTGCCTCCAATATTTATGCTGGATACGTTTTCTTTAAAGTTGCTTTCAGGTTACTGTCTGGTTTTAGCAAATTATTTCCATAACACACACACACAGACTTTTCTGGGTCAGAAATAGGAAAAGTAGATAGTTTAAAACTACACATTTAGCTTCGGTTGTAGAAGCTACGTGTATCTGAAGTCCAGGGCATGGTTAGGTTGGTTACATTGCTTTCTTAAAGGCATGTAAAACTAAACTGGATGAATACACAATGGGAAAACAAAGTGACTATACTGTTTTAAATGGTCTTAAGGTATATTATTAACTTGCTTGCAAGGTCTGGCAAAATTTAGTATCTGAAGACGTGAAGTATTTTCAGAAAAGGTGATTCCCAGCCCTGTAGCCTAAATACCATTGGCATTGACCACCTTTCCTCTATGAGCCTACATTTAATGAGATGGTCTCCCTTTGACACAATCGTGCTAAGTGCTTCTCTTATTTTCTGATTTACTACTCAAAAAATGAGTAGTAAATAGTAAAAATCTTTTGACTGGTAGCCTCACAGTTTGGTAGAAATGTAAATTGTTGTTCTTTGTAACCGAAAATTGTATTTAGAGCTTTTTTGCCTTGTAGGACTGCGCACAAATACAGGTGCAGGATTTTGCACCAGACCTACTGGCTTCAAATTCCAGCTGGACTTTACCAGCTCTGATTTGGAGCAACTGTCTAAACTCTTACGGCTTCCCTCTAATGCCAAACAGATGTGACAGGAGCATGTGCCATAACTTCTAGTGGGGCATGAAGACTCAGCATGATACACAGTTGCATTCCTGTAGGGCTCGGAGATGAGTAGTGACATCAGTTCTCGCAAAGCTCCAATAGATCAAAGACGAGTTTTTTTTTTGTAGCAAGAAGAAAGTGTTTTGAACAAAACAAAGAACAGAAACCCAAATACCTGTTCATTAGATTTCAAAGAGGGCACAGTGTACGGAGATGAACTGGGGCCACTGAGTCATATCTAGCTGTGTGCTGCATAATTGAGAATGCATTTGCAGAAACTGTAGCATCTGATGCAGCCTAGACAGCAGGTCAGCTTGATAGCCAAAGGTGTGAAGAGAATGTTCTAAAGATTACAGTACTCATCCAGGTACAGACCTGGGCTTCTTGTGTTTATTTCAGGTTATTCTCGTGAGGATCTAAGTAAAAATGCTGAATCTTTGAAAACAAAACTTTCTACTAAATATGAGTGTATAGAAAGTATACCATTGTGTGATGAAGCAAGTCAACTAATTCTAAATTCTAAACACATTAAGTGTTTAAACTTAAATTTATATTATTTATTTTAATTGAAGAGTCAACAAATATTTGCTCTTGGTGGCTACAGTATAATATTTTGATATTGTATAAACTATAAAGAGTTAAATGTAGGCTAATACCACGATTTTAACTTGAATTTCGTAGTCATAAACTTAAAATGTTTTAGTACTTAGTATTCTTGCCATTTATTCTCCTCAGTCTCAGTATTTTGTGTTAGTTTTTCTTGTCATTTTGAAATGAAATTGGTTATATTAGCAGAAAAAGGAAACATGAGGAAAATTGTGCTGAGCACTAAGTAATTGTATGCATTGGTCCCCTTCTTCAGGTCTTCTACTCTATATTATTTGGGACTTTCAGTATTGGACATATTGCCCCTAATGTAGAAGCCTTTGCAAATGCAAGAGGGGCCGCCTATGAAATCTTCAAGATAATTGATAACGTAAGTCTGGCTGGCCCATTTATTCACCTACATAAAAGATTGATTACTGTTCGAGTCGGTTTCCCTTTTACTTCCTCTCTCTACAACTGTCACTACAGAGTAGTGATTGTAACCTGGTGATCTCCTAACATACACTTCTGTTTAGGAGCCAAGCATTGACAGCTTCTCAACAAAGGGACATAAACCAGACAGTATAATGGGAAATTTAGAATTTAAAAATGTTCACTTCAGCTACCCATCTCGAAGTGGAGTTAAGGTATGGCAATAAATGATAAATCTATGATTCAATAATCTATTGGATAGAGACATTCTTTTAGATACTGTAAAACAAAGACAAATAATCACATGTATGTTACGTATTTAAACCCAGTACTGAATTCAGCTTTCTGCTCATAGAACTTATGTTTGTCTATCTATCCTGGGAATTGCCCTAACACTAGCTTTTCGTCTGTCTTGGCAGATTTTGAAGGGCCTCAACCTGAAGGTGCAGAGTGGACAGACCGTGGCCCTGGTCGGCAACAGTGGCTGTGGGAAGAGCACCACTGTCCAGCTGCTGCAGAGGCTCTACGACCCCACGGAGGGCGTGGTGAGTGGTCGTGCAGCCAGCAGCGCTACCCTTGCCCATCATTCTGACTCCATGGTTCTAAAGTGTGACAACCACACATTCCGTTTCAGGTCAGTATCGACGGCCAGGACATCAGGACCATCAATGTGAGGTACCTGCGGGAAATCATCGGCGTGGTGAGTCAGGAACCAGTGTTGTTTGCCACCACGATCGCTGAAAACATTCGCTATGGCCGAGAGAACGTCACCATGGATGAGATCGAGAGAGCAGTCAAGGAAGCCAACGCCTATGACTTCATCATGAAACTGCCCCACGTGAGTTGTGCCTGCCCTCTGTCACCCCGAGGCTCATGTGAACTCAGGAAACTCCTGTGAGTTGGATGAACTTCCTTAGAGGGGAATTCCAGTTTACTGTGGATTTTCCATCGCTCACCCTATCGACTAGTGGTAGATACTTCTTGCCAAGAACTGGACTGTGTTGCTGGCCAAGCTCCACTGATGATTACGTCCCAATTTGAAATGAGAGCTGAGGTAGTTTATTGTTTCACTATATTTCCTGTTAATTTGTTTGTTTCTTTATTGTTTTAATTGTAGAAATTTGACACCCTGGTTGGTGAGAGAGGGGCGCAGCTGAGTGGGGGACAGAAACAGAGAATTGCCATTGCTCGTGCCCTGATCCGCAACCCCAAGATCCTTTTGTTGGATGAGGCGACGTCAGCCTTGGACACAGAAAGTGAAGCTGTGGTTCAGGCTGCTCTGGATAAGGTCTGTGAGCTATACTTAAAAGTTGAATTATAGGAATATTAATATTCCATTATTTGTATTTTTTCTTGTCTGTGTGACTGTGTATGTATGTGTATGCATATGCATGTATAGGTGCACTTGAACATGTGTGTGCATGCATGGATTATCTTCCTTAATTGATCTCCACCTTCTTTTTTGAGACAGTGTCTGTCCCTGAACCTAGAGCTCATGGATTTGACAGCACAGACTGATTTATGAATCTTAGTATCTTTCAGTTTCTACCTCCTCAGAGCACTCTTCTTTAAAAAAATTCTATTTATTTTCTAATAATTTTTATTTATTTATTTATTTATTTATTTATTTATTTATTTATTTTTGGTTTTTCGAGACAGGGTTTCTCTGTGGTTTTGGAGCCTGTCCTGGAACTAGCTCTTGTAGACCGGGCTGGTCTCGAACTCACAGAGATCCACCTGCCTCTGCCTCCCAAGTGCTGGGATTAAAGGCGTGCGCCACCACCACCCGGCTTTATTTATTTTTTAAGAATTTTATACAATATATTTTGATCATATTCTTTGTTGGTATTATTGTTTTATGAGACAGAGTTTCCCTGCATAGCCCGGGCTGTTCTGGAACTAGCTCTGTAGTCCAGACTGACCTTGAACTCAGAGACCCACCTACCTCTGCCTCCCAAGTGCTGGGATTAAAGGCCTGTGCCACCACCACCCAGCTTTGGTCATATTCTTTACGCAACTGCAACCCCAGTCTCTCCCTTATCCTTCCTCACCTTCCTACCAGCTTACTTCATCTTCTCTGTCTTCTGATCCTCAAGACAAACAAATCCAGAGTCCAGTTAGTGCTGGCTGACTACTCCTGAGCCTGCCCTGTAGTGTGGCTGATGCACAGTTTTACTTCACTGAAGAAAACGAATTTTTTTCTCTACTGGAGCTATCAGTTATGAATGCTTCTCGGCTAAGTGGAACTTCATGCCCACGCATTCATTGAAATCATAGACTGTTTTCTGTAGCTTTGCTGGTTTTATGTTGTCAAAGCACTGGCATTCAGTAAGCATAAGTTGAATGAGTGAGTCTTTCCATATAGTTAGTTATTCATGTATAAAAAGTCAGGTTTCTGTGTCTCCAGGCTCGGGAAGGCCGGACCACCATTGTGATAGCTCACCGCTTGTCTACAGTTCGCAACGCTGATGTCATTGCTGGCTTTGATGGTGGTGTCATTGTGGAGCAAGGAAATCACGATGAGCTCATGAAAGAGAAGGGCATTTACTTCAAACTTGTCATGACACAGGTACAGTGGAACTCTGGAATTTTCCAAAATTATCTTATCGATAACATACTACCATTTAATGCTATAGATGATTTAATTTGATTATCTTGAAAAGCAGGAAAAGTGCTGTGGATATATAGGATCAAGTAAGAGTTTTGTGTTGCTTTTTTTTGGGAAAGAGAGAAGCTTATAAAGGATAATTAACATTTAACAAGGTTTAGAGATGAGCTACCCATGGTAGGAGCTGCTGGCCACATGTGGCTACTGAACGTTAGAATATTGGTTAATCTGGAGTGTGAAATGTTTTAAGTACAAAATGAACACTGGGATTCTGAAGGCCTAGTATAAAAAATGCAAAATATTCCAGTAGCTTTTTGTATTGCTGCATGTTAAATCGATAATATGCTGATGACAATAACATCTTAGATTCTCTAGATTAAATATATAGTTAAATTGATTTTTATCCATTTTCACATTCTCTAATATTGCTGCTAGAACATTTATTTTATTACTTACTTACTTATTTATTTATTTATCTATTTATTTATTATGTATACAACATTCTGTCTGTGTGTATGTCTACAGGCCAGAAGAGGGCACCAGACCTCATTACAGATGGTTCTGAGCCACCATGTGGTTGCTGGGAATTGAAGTCAGAACCTTTGGAAGAGCAGGCAATGCTTTTAACCACTGAGCCATCTCTCCAGCCCCCTGCTAGAACATTTTAAATGGCAGATGTGGCTTACATTATGGGATACACCTCATTGCCTTTGATTACACTAGTTCAAAGCAAACTTCATTGGCTGAGTGCCTCAGAAAAAAGACTGTTTCAGTTACTTTCTGTGGCACTTTATAGTGCCAGGACCAAGCACAGCTTAGGGAGGACAGGGCTGATTCCATCCTATGTTCCATCATCAGGGAAGTCAGACCAGGGACTCAGGCGGAAGCTGGAGGAGGAGCTGATTGCGGGGGCCATGGAGGAGTGCTGCTTACTGACTCACTCACTCTGGCTTCCCCAGTCTTTCTTGAACTACCGAGGACCACCTGCCCAGTGTGCTGGCCCACCCACTGAAATCGTAAATAAAAAAATACCCCATAGAATTGCTTAAATGCCAGTCTAAAGGAAGCATCTTCTTAATTAAGATTCCTGTTTCCTAGATGTGTAGGTTTGTGTGCAGTTGACCCAGTAAGCAGCACAGAGTGGCTAAGAGTATTCTATTTGGTGGCAGTCCTTGTCACTCTGCGGTTTACATTTCATCCCACGAGCAAGCAGAGCAGCTTAGTCCCATCATGTCCCATAAAACCTTGGAACTTTCCTGATTTTCCTAATGCTGATGTCCATGGACCCTTGTCTAACCAATTTCTCCATCTTTCTTATTTGTTTTAGACTACAGGAAATGAGATTAAACTGAAAAATGAAGCTTATGAATCCCAAAGTGACACTGGTGCCCCTGAATTGGCTGCACACGAATCCACATCCCCTTTAATACGGAAATGTAGCTACGGTCCACAAGACCAAGAGAGAAGAGTTAGTGCGAAGGAGGCCCAGGTATGGATGTGGCTGTAGTCATGGGGCTAAACCCTCCCCACACCCTTCCTTGTGTGTTAATTGGGTAAGCTAGGGCCGGGGTAGGAGGAAAACAAGATACAACTGTATAAGACTCCTTCTGTCATGTTTTATAGATTATTCCAGAAATCAAAACCACAGCATTTTACAGTCAGCTCAGAATTTAAGAGTAAGAATTCTTAGGAAGTTTTTTAATTTTGGATTTATGTAAAGAAACTGTGGTCAGTTAAGGGCTTTTCTGTGACAGAGTACTCAACTGGAGCAGCTTCAGGGAGGATGGAAGGGTCTGTAGTGTCTCAGAGTTTGAGGGCGAGTTCATCATGATGGGGCTTTAGAGTGATACATGCCTGTGTTCGGTTCCCTCCCCTTTGAGACAGCCCCACAGTTAGGTCTTCTCACAGCGGTTAAGCAGATCTTAACCTGGATAATCCCTCGCTGTCATGCTCTGACGTTTGACTGCTTGGTTATTCTGAATCCTATTAAAATGACGATATTAACCATCACCGTCAGGAATTCCTAAAATTAGGAATGCTGAATAAATCTTAAAGCATTAGTAAAATAAGCTTTTTGTTTTGTTTCATTTTTGTGGTGCTAGGACCTCATATTTTTAGTTGGGCACCGTACCAATGAGCTATGTCTCCCACCCCTCATTTTACGATCTACTATAGCAAGTAGGACACAGCTCTTCCTGTCTGCCCTTGTACTCTGGGCATACATGGAGATTCTGAACAGTGGATAGTGCTGGAGTCCAACCATAGATATTTAAATAAACATATAGCCTTCAAGATTATGTTTAGGAGAGTTAGAAGCACATATTCTTTATAATCTCAAATCCATAATAACAGAATTATTGTGTGTTAGGGCAGTTTAATAATTTTTACAAACAGTGAGACTGGTGGTTCTGCCAGTATTAAATTTTCTATTCTGTTTGTTCCCCATAGTAAATATTCTTGTCTTGTGAATCAAGAGTTTTGATAAGAACATCTTTGGTTTTTTGAAAAAAAGAATGAAAATGCCAGAGTTAGCTTCAATATAGTACTACCAGTCGATAAGGGATCATATTATATTCATTAATGATAATATGGATGGATGGAGCTATATGATAGACTTAATTATCAATTTTTAAATAATACGTCTATGTGCATGAGTGTTTTACCTGTATGTGTGTATGTGTGCCATGCATGTGTCGGGGGGGGGGTACCCCTAAAGGCCAGAAACAGAACCCCAGTGTAGGATGCAGCACAAGTGAGCCTGGCAGGTCCCACTGCAGGTGGGGGACCGTGCAGTAAACAGAATACACCATGCAAAGAGAGCTTGGGGAGTATGGAGTTATATTTAGGAAGATGGTAGTGGGAGGATACGGGAGAGGAAGGGAGAGGGAGAGAAAGAGAGAGAGAGAGAGAGAGAGAGAGAGGAGAAAGAGGGAAGGGCTAAGGTGGGCTTGCCTGGGCCGGAAGTGAGAGATTGTGACTGGGTGGAGCTTGTCTCTTAAAGGGACAGGGTATTGCCTGGGTTCATCCTGCCAGGTGACAGGGCAGGCCAGCGTAATCCTAACACGTAGACCCATAGTTAAAGACAATTATGAGTTGCCTTGTGGGTGCTGGGAACAGAGCATGGGTCCTCTGCAAGATCAGCAAGTGCTCTGAACTGCTGAGACATTTCTCTAGCCCCCACATTATGAATTTTGTAAACTGTCCTGCTGTAATGCATGCATTTTCTAGGAGGAAGATGTGCCTCTTGTTTCCTTCTGGCGGATCCTAAAGCTGAACATAACTGAATGGCCTTACTTAGTCGTTGGTGTGTTTTGTGCTGTTATAAGCGGATGCATGCAACCAGTGTTCGCCATAGTATTTTCAAGGATTATAGGGGTAAGTTTCCGTGGCCTTTTTGTGTATTTGTTGTGTTCACTGATGAAGAGCGAATGAATGGCTTCTATTTGTACTGTTGACAAGAAGCCTGAAAAACATGGCTTGAAGAGAGAATAGAAGTCTAATTTGTAAGAGGAAACCGAATTTTTTTATTTAAATTTTTTTTGAGACTTTCATGCAAGAGTACTGTATTTACATCATTTCCATCTCCTTTAACCTCCTCTAGCTCCTTAGATCTACTCCCCACCCACTCTCCAATTCTTTCACTCTTTCATAATTATTATTGTTATACACACACTCTCCTGAGTCTGGTTAGTGGATGAACACGAAGAAATGAGGATAAAAGACAGTTGACAGAATGAGCTGTCCTGTGGGAGTGGAAAGAGCCAGAGAACCAGGACATGGGAGCTGTACCCATGAAATCTCAACAATATAATTGCCTAAACAAGACCCATGTTATGACATACTAGTCAACATGCCAGTGTGGGTGGGGACATTTCACAAGGCCCCAGAATCAGTCAATGGCTGCTAAGAGACGGAGACTCCATTTTCTTCAGGGATGAGCTCCATGATACAGTATCCAGTCCCAAGTCCTCAAACAGCTTGGAACACTTTGAAATCTTCGCATAGTAAAATAATGAGTTGTTGAACAACGGTGTTCCTTACCAAGCTTCCAAGTGGAGAGAATTTATTACAATGCCTTCCATAGTAGTGTAGCACGCATTGATCTCTGTGGCCCCGGGGAAATGCTGGGTGAGTCTGTGAATGGCAGACGATCTCTGTCATGAAGAACAGATGCAGATGCCTTAGAGGCCAGCGTTCTGGAAGCCACCCTTGTTCCAAGATACAAAGTCTGTTTTGTCCCCCACACTAAGTGAGAGTGGGATGGCCTCCCTGAGGAATGCCTTCCTGAGCCATAGAACTAAGAACCCCTCAAATATTTTGTCACAGGTTTTCACAAGAGATGATGACCCCGAAACCAAACAACAGAATTGTAATTTGTTTTCACTGCTTTTTCTGGTCATGGGAATGATTTGTTTTGTTACATATTTCTTTCAGGTAAGTGTCTACATCGCTTCTGTATTCATTTTGGAAGATTTTGGAAACAAGTACTTACTTTTCCTGTTTGTATAGTTCCTCTTTCATCACCTGGACTGTACCAGTCCTGTGGCTCTACCTCCCCTTCTTGCTTCTTCCTCCTCTCTACCCTTTTGCCTACTACAGCCCTCGACCTGATCACAGTAGGGAGTGTTCAATGTGCTACAGAGTTTAGAACAGAGATGGAGACATGAGAATGGGAGCCCAAGATTAGTTTAGCATCCATCCCCTGTGTGTTTGGTGTCTGAGTTCCTGGCCAGCCTTCTGTGTGACGCCTTCTCATTCTTCTTAGGGCTTCACGTTTGGCAAAGCTGGAGAGATCCTCACCAAGCGACTCCGATACAATGTTTTCAAGTCCATGCTGAGACAGGTATGGCTGCTGTGGCTTGCACCCTGTGGTTGGGGAGTAGGAATTCTCTCTTGTGCTCCATGGACACAGATTGTAGGAGAGCTGTCAAGTTCCTTAGATAGAAATCCTGCACGGGTCTCCCTCAGCCTCCTCTTGAGATGCTGGTAAACCATCTGTCGATGTAGGATGCGGATATGCACTCTGTTTGCTGCAGCCGGGCACAAGGAACCAGACTGAGTTGGGACAAATGGAGTCTCCAGAGTAGATTCTCCTCCAGGCTTTTGGTCCAGCGTTGAAAAACACAGAAACCAGAGTAATCTTCAATAGTGCTCATTCCCTCCTCCTTCTTTCTCCTGTGAGCCTGGGATACCCCCACCCATGCTTTTCATTCCACAGATCCAAGGGCATTGCCGTGAGCATCATCCCTCACTGCCTGGTTTCTTTGCTCCTCAAAGGCTAACATGACCCACATAAAGTGTTAGCTCTGCCTTGAGAGGACAGAGTGCACCTCACACTTCGCATCTTCAAGAACCTCAAACAGACAGCGAGCTTATTTTCCTTAACGAAGAATTTGGATTTGGGAAAAGTATCTCAGGACAGCCCAGTTGAAAGAGGAAAGATTTTTGGTTTTTATCAACTATGAGAAATTTACATACGACTTTAAAACTTTTAAGGCTGTGCTCTTCATGCCTTAGAATCAGTCTCTCCTGGAGCCAGGATCCAAACTCAGGCAGTGGTACTCCTGTTCATTCTGTTATGGTGGAGAATAGTCAGATATCACATGCTCTCCCAGAAATGAGAGTTTGGAACAGGGCTGCCCCCTCAAATGAGCCTAGTGTCTATTAGTGCTTTATCTATGGATGGATTTTCCAAATTCCCAAGACTTAGGGCCTAGCCCAAGGCAGATGTGAGTGGATTTGGGCTCCCAGTGGGTGTGTGTTTGATACTTTGTCTCCTAGGCAGGCACCTTGCTGGCATGAATGATTAGGAAGGTTCCAGAAGTTAGTCATCACCAGGTTCTTCACCCTGTTTTTTTTTTTTAACATTTATTGTTAAATAAAAAAATGTCCAGGCATCCTAGCCCAGGCAAGCCAGAGGCACTTGAACCCAGCTCCAAAGCATCAGTCTTCCATGCAGACAGTATCTTGGCTGTTATTTTGTTGTTATTTCAAGATTTATTTTAATTTTTGAAACTATGTCTATGTTGGGAGGGAGATGACAGGAGGGTGGGGCCTGCAGGCCGCTGTTCAGACTGAAACCTGATGACCCCTCCTGGTTAATGACCAGTCGCTCCTCAGCCTCCTCGCTGGTTTCATGGCCTCCATCCTCATCTTGGTCTGGACGCAGTGTGCATCCAGCAGGGAAGTCTCTAGTCTCCACAGCTGCCAAAGGCCATGTGTAGCTCCCGTCTACCTCAGCTACAATGGCACCCCTGTCCAGACACCATAGGTAACTGCACAGTGGTGGTGGAAGAGAGGTTCAGGGGGATCACAATAGGACAAAAGAGTCCACAGGAAGAGGCTGGTTTAGAGACAAACACTGTGGGTTTGTTGTGTGTGTTTGGGCTACCACAGCCTGCTAGCTTTTGTTAAGACCGAGTGTGCCTCGGCTCAGGTCACTGCAAGTGCTGCATCATCTTCTCTTGGACACGCTCATCTCTTCCTTCCTTTGCATGTCTGCTCCCAGTCCCCTTAGAAATCCTTCCTGCCACTTCTCTGCCTTGTCCCTTACCCTTTGTCCTTCTTTAATATGTTTTTGTCCAGAGTGTTAGGTACCGTCCAGACAATGTGAATTTGTTTCCTCATGCCTTCTGTCTCTGGAGCTGAGGCTGTATGACAGCAATGTGTCACTCTTCACTGTTTAACACTTGGAGTTCTGCTGGAGACAAGGAGACATTTTTATATAAATTAACGAATAAAACAGTCCAGTTGTGTGTTTGCATATTAACTCTCTTCTGTCTGTTGAACATTAAATTCTGGATACTAAATGTGGGGATATGTGATAGCTGACACTGTCACTTTCTCCTGAATCTCAGAGTTTCATAAATAGGGCATTACGGTGAAAAAATACCTCTGTGTTACAGGACATGAGCTGGTTCGATGACCATAAGAACAGCACTGGCGCACTGACCACCAGGCTCGCCAGTGATGCTGCTGATGTGAAAGGGGTATGTGCTTCCTGGGGGTGATGTCATTATGTCGTCTTGATCCACAGCGTGAGATCCCTTTCCCTTAGAGCTGTTAGTGGCTGTCTTTAAGAAAATGTAAATAGGGGTTGGCAGACAAAAATGTAAATATTCATTTAACCCACTGGGATATCATTTGCATTGTAGCTAAGATATAAAATTAAATATATATTAAATATATATACATATATATATTGTATGGTATATAACTTCTAAGCATTCCTTTGATAAGATCCACTGAGAACAGTTATTAGAAAAGACCTGCTGTGTGTGGTATCCTGCCCAGAAGGCTCACTGAGTGTTGCTAGCAGAAGGGGAAGTACTAACAGTGGTCAGTCTGTCTTACTGCTCAGTTAGTCAATGGACAGCTGTAATCGCTACTCAAGAAGGACACATGACCTCTTGTCAGGATGTTCTAGGCATATAGTTCAGAGAAGAAGGAAGAAAAGCTTCCTTAAAATGATTATAGGAAACAAAACACCTATTAAGAATTAGAGAAGGAATAACTTTGAATTCTCACATCAACAGATTTTGATCTCTGGCTGAAGTTACAGTGTCTTCTATAACCCGCCACTTCATAGCAATAGCCTTCAAGAAGATGGTGTGAAAATGCAAACATGTTCATTGTTGGGTCTCCCTCTGCCCTGAACTTGCTTTAGTGATCATGCTTTGGTACATAAAGATGTCTTTGAATTGAGGAATCAGTCATGGCTGGGGGGAGGTTCGGAAGGAAGGAGCACTTTCTCTGCAGGTTTGAATCCACAACATTCAACGTAAAAAAGCCAGGCATGACTGACTGCATATGCCTGTAACCTCAGCACTGGGGGGACAGGGATAGGTGGACCCCAGGAGCTTGTGAGCAAGCTATGGCTAATGTTTCAAGGCAGTAAGGCAGAGAACGGTAGCGGGATACACCCACATCCTGCTCTATCCTCCACATGGGTGAGTACGCCAGCATGCTCATGTACCTGCACCCCACAAACACGCGCATTCACCTCCAGACAAACACACCAAAGAAAGAAAAAGGAATCAGAATAGAGAAAAAAATGAGTTCTGGATTATTGATCCACTGTCCTATTTTTGTAGGAGTCGAGGAAATCCTCATTTTAGAAACACAAATTTAGTAACCAAGAAGAAAATTAATGTATTCACATGAAAGCAAATTCTCCTAAGTCGTAAGAGTACATGTATTTTACGGTTAATATAAAAATGTGTCTAATTTCTTATGTTTTTCAGGCTATGGGTTCCAGGCTTGCTGTAACTACCCAGAATGTAGCAAATCTGGGGACAGGAGTTATCATATCTTTAATCTACGGCTGGCAGTTAACACTTTTACTCGTGGTGATTGTACCCCTCATTATTTTGGGTGGCATTATGGAAATGAAACTCTTGTCTAGTCAAGCTCTAAAAGACAAGAAAGAACTGGAGGTTTCTGGGAAGGTGAGTCCAACAAAGCGCAATTCTTATCTAGCAGAAAAAGTTCCTTGGTGGTGATGTTCACCAGTTCCCTGTTGCTGGCTGCCCTGAGGATGCTGTCCTAACCATTCTTCCAGCAAACTTCAGTTTCCTGCAGATTCGTATCCGAAGAAAAGTGGGCAACGCCTCTCTCAGCTCAAAGCCTGGCAGCTGCTTTTCGTGGCTTTTCTGGTTTCAGGCTGCTGCCTCCACTTCCTCCTGCATTCCCTTCCATTCTTCTCTTTCCCCCTTTCCTTCTCTCCCCACCTTCTGTCTTTCTATCTTTCTTTCTTTAAGCCATTCCTGTATTGTGGAGACATAGGCACATTTTGTTATGCATATTTGGGGAGATCCAGTATGGAAAAGTCCCAAGAGTATTGATTCGCTCCACTTTAGACTACTGCTTTCCTCTTTTCCATGCCCCCCTTTCTCTCACATCTGCCCTCTTCCCCTTGGTCCTGTTTGTTGTGCACCCTTAGCTATTTTTTTTTCACAGCTTAACAAATTCTTTTGTGGGACCTACTGGATTTCCTGGCAAATATTTTGTTTCTTGTACTGACCCGACCAGGTTGTTCTGCTATAAAGCTCTTAGGTGAGCCGGATGGGCACACAGGCTGTGCTCTTCACGCCTTAGAATCAGTCTCTCCTGGAGCCAGGATCCAAACTCAGGCAGTGGTACTCCTGTTCATTAGCTGGGAATCCACATTCTGTTATGGTGGAGAATACTCAGATATCACATGCTCTCCCAGAAATGAGAGTTTGGAACAGGGCTGCCCCCTCAAATGAGCCCAGTGTCTACTAGCGCTATATCTACGGATGGATTTTCCAAATTCCCAAGACTTAGGGCCTAGCCCAAGGCAGATGTGAGTGGATTTGGGCTCCCAGTGGGTGTGTGTTTGATACTTTGTCTCCTAGGCAGGCACCTTGCTGGCATGAATGATTAGGAAGGTTCCAGAAGTTAGTCATCACCAGGTTCTTCACCCGTTTCCCTGGAGTTTCTCTGAAAGAAAGCCGCATGGCCAGCTTTCTCGCCTGCAACTACTGTTTCCAGGGTCAGACTTCACAGTGTGAATGCCCTCGGAGTGCTCTGGCCTGAGCAACTGAGACCCAGCTTCCTAAGAAATAACTCCAGCTAACAGTGTGCTGGGGTTCTTTGTTTCTATGGTGAAGACTTTTCATTTGAAGAAAAGCATTGCGATTTTATAGCACTTATACGCTTCAAATGCCGTAGAGTGATGGTGGGAAGATGACCAGGCATCTGGTACAGGCCTGTGAAGGGACAGGCTTGTGAAGGGACAGGCTTGTGAAGGGACAGGCTTGTGAAGGTGCAGGCTTGTGAAGGTACAGGTTTGTGAAGATACAGGCTTGTGCAGGTGCAGGCGTGTGAAGGTGCAGGCTTGTGAAGGTACATGCGTGTGAAGGTACAGGCGTGTGAAGGTACAGGCTTGTGAAGGAGCAGGCTTGTGAAGGTGCAGGCTTGTGAAGGTACAGGCTTGTGAAGGGACAGGCTTGTGAAGGAGCAGGCTTGTGAAGGTGCAGGCTTTTGAAGGTGCAGGCTTGTGAAGGTGCAGGCTTGTGAAGGTACAGGCTTGTGAAGGTGCAGGCTTGTGAAGGTGCAGGCTTGTGAAGGTACATGCGTGTGAAGGTACAGGCGTGTGAAGGTACAGGCTTGTGAAGGGACAGGCTTGTGAAGGAGCAGGCTTGTGAAGGTGCAGGCTTTTGAAGGTGCAGGCTTGTGAAGGGACAGGCGGGTGAAGGTGCAGGCTTGTGAAGGAGCAGGCTTGTGAAGGTGCAGGCTTGTGAAGGGACAGGCTTACTTCAGCATGACTGAGGAAAGCGGCACAGTTGGACATGGATGTGTCTGTCTATGGCAGATTTTCAGAGTCACGGTCAGGCTCTAATTCAGTGGTAGATCCTAGAAGGGAGTACAGTGCATAGAGACTCTGGCGGTGGCTATTCCAGCCATCTACTTAATATTAAAAATCAAGCTCATTGTTCTAATTCTCAGGTTGCTATTTATTATTAAATAGATGGCCTATAGCTGCCATCACATTATGAGCTGTATGTGTATTCTCTCACTTAAGGCTGTCAGTAGCTGTGCAGAATTGTCCCTATTGGACAGATGATAAAGCCCAAAGTTTAGAGAGATCCTGGGTCGTGTCAAAAAGCCACAAGGTAGTGGAGGTCTCACTGATCTAACTCTCTAGACTTCTCCTCCCGTATTCTTCATTCTTCACATGAGCCCGTTCTCATATCTCTTAGATCCAGATTGGGTCACGCTAGCTCCAGTCTCCTCCTGTATTGCACATTCTCCACACGAGTCCATTCTCATATCTCTTAGATCCAGATTGGGTCACGCTAGCTCTAGTCTCTTCCTGTATTCTACATTCTCCCCACGAGTCCATTCTCATATCTCTTAGTTACAGATTGGGTCGTGCTAGCCTGTGCTTTAAATCTTGCAGTGACCTTTAACAAGCTGCACACAGTCCAAGCTTTTTTTCCCGGCTGCACACCCGATGTGGTCCAGTCCTTGACTGTTCTTTCCTTGCACTGTGGTCGTCATTGTCCGCACTGCTGCAGCCGCCAGGAGCTCTGCAATTCCTATCACACGACTCTGCTTCCCTTGGACCGCATGGACGACTCATTTCCATCACTCAGGTTTTTGAGCTGTGTTTTCAGAGGCCACACACTTACTGAATGTGTGCCTCCTCGGATGTTTCTGTCCTGTTTCTTTGTTAATGAATGGGGTGTATTCCTTGCTAAAACTTAAGTTCCATGAAGGACAAGCCTGTTTCTGATGATTTGCCTCTAAAGAAATGAGGTAAGCTTGAGATTTCTAAGCCGTTCTGTGTAATTTCACAGAACCCATACTCAAGTGTGTGATGTCAAGGGCTGCTCATATCCCAGCAATAGAATGTCAGGGCCTTCTTTTGTCCTGATAGTATGGTGTTGCAGACTGTCCTTGTTAGCCGGAGTCATGGTGTCTGGGAAGACAGAGCTGCTCACCATTCTCACTCTGTGCTGTCAGAACACGCTCATAGCTCATAGCTCCACTGTCTATGGCGTGTTCTTGGCAGTGTGCAGTCGTGTTCTTATGGACTGATGAGCACTACTGAAAACATGTAGGGATTTTCAGTCTTGAAAGCCATAATCAAACATGATTTTTTGAAGGCAGGAGGAAGAAGGTAAAGAAGTCATTTTTTTCCCCAAAATCATGTATGTTCCTTTCTCCCAAGTTATTTAGTAAATGATACTTTCTGAATGAAACAGTACTATTTTTTTACTCTTCCAACTAAAAATTCTTCATTTAGGGAATTACTTAGTCTTTAAAACTTGTGGAGATTGAAGCTGTAAGGGTACCAGCTTCTAGTTCAGGTTTTTCCTCATCGCTTCATTGCGCCTCAAAATGGAGAGATAATTCTGTAGAATAGAATGTCATTCCACTGACCATATGAAGCCTGTGCTCAAACTCTCATTTCTATCAGCGATACCCGGGGCCTTGCGCAGGAAGTCTTTCAGACATTCATTGAATTTGACCGTGGAACTTGTTTCCCATCGCCCTTCGCTGCGGCTTCTTCAGTTGTCTGACTAACCTGGCGCAGGGGTTCAAATAAGAACCCCTGTGATTAAAAATAGTTCAATGTATCTGAACAACGATTTCTGGATCATTTTTTCCTCTACCATCTTACTTTCCTTATTCTCAGGGTTTTCTAAAATGCATATGTGTTTGGTGTGTGTATGCAGTTGTACATGAGTATGGGTGCTGTGCGTATGCGTGGGGAGCTCAGGCTCGGGTCATTTCCCAAGAACCATCCTCCTTGTCTGTGAGGCAGAGTCCCTCCCTGGGCCCTAGAAACCACTGGTTACATTAGACTAGCTCAGCCAGTCCCCAGGGTCCTTCTCTCTCCACTTCCCCAGTGCTGATATCACAAGTAGAGGGAGAGAGAAAGCGTGTGTGTGTGTGTGTGTGTGTGTGCATGTGCCTGTGTATGGGTGTGTGCATGTGTGTAGTGACTATCCAGAAAAATGATCTGTGATAGCCATACCTTCAGATTTAAGTGAACTTATAAAGTGGGCAGCTAGCAAACCAAAGTACAAAAATAATAGCAACTAGCAGATAGACAGAAGCAAAAGATAGCTAGCAATACAGCATCAAATAAAATACTCCAAGCATACAACAGAAATGACTGACGTAGACTGCTTCAGAGAGCAAAGAAAGGTGACAGCAAATCAGAGCTTAAAGTATTGAGTAGAAATCGCCTGGAGAAGAAACAGCCGTGCTGGAGTTACAACTCTTCCACCCATAAATGAGCTTCTTCTAGAGGACTGGGTTCCCAGCACCCACACAGCAGCTCACAGCCATCAGTAACTCCAGTTCCAGGGCATCTGATGCCCTCTTCTGTCTTTCATGGGCATGGCATGCAAGTGGTGCACAGACATACAAAGACACTGATATTGATAACATAAAGTGATTTTTTTTATCTCCTCTTCATATTTAGATAATTTGTACAGGATTCAGTGAAAAATAAGTGGATTTCATATTTGGGGTATTGTTCTACAAATTATGACATAATGGAATGTGTCCTTATTAAAATCAGGTCTGACCGGTGAAAGCCTGAGAGAAGAGTATCTAAGGAACTTCTCTTGGTGACCTAGAGTTTTAGAGCTAAAGAAATGGTAGAGAGCTTCTATCTCTCCCCTTCGTTTTCCAGATGAGAAGCCACATACAGAGTAAATTTGCAGGAAAGTAGAATTGGAGTAGGTCATGTTAAATAAGAAAAAACAAATGTGCTTTATTCCGTGTGTAGAATATGTTAAAAGATGAGAGAGAAATGTATGGACCCAGGAAGGGTTGAGGAGAGGGTGGAAAGGAAGATGGACACGATATGTGAATATATGGAAATGCCAGAGAATCCTGTTCATCTGTACAACATTTGTTGATGACAAACAGCATTTACTGTCTTTGACCTAGTGATTTAACTTTTAAAAATTTTTCCTAAGTAAATTATTTCATGCCAGTAAATCCTCACATTCAAAGATATCTATGGGAATAAGAATTGAAAGTGCTGCTAGGGCTGAAAACAGGTGCATTGTTTAGGTTGTCTATGGTACCCACTGCATGTATTCAGGAACCTTGGAATGCTCTTTACCAACGACAGTATAGATTCAGAATCCACTTTATCATTAGCCATAGGTAAACTTGGGGGAAGAGCACTGCTTACGTGAATGTCTCAAATGCTGATGTGGAACGGTTTATTTTGTAGCATATTCCAGATAGGTCTTAAAGCAATGGCACTTATAGATAAATATCACATTTTAAAAATATGCAAAACAAAACAAAAAATATGTAAAGCCAGTGCATGGCAGTATTAACCGCACCCAGACGGAGTGGGAAGTTTTCAAATTTTAGGTCAGTCTTGCATATTTTGCAAGACCCTGTCTCAAATAAACGAATAAACAAGCTAAAGCAATTGAAGGTTGAAATACATCCACTGTGTAAGAAAGCACTGTAAAAAACATACTGAATTCTCAAGTACCTCTTTTAAAACCAAGTAAAGACAGTGGCTTTAGGCCATCTCTCTAAAGAGGGGGGAAGATTAGTGGATGTCCCATACAGACCTGAAGTCTAGTTTGAGAAATTATTTAATATTCTTTTTCAGTAAAGAAGATGCTCATAGATAATACTACATGCTAAATACATTGTAGCAACTTATTTTATTAACGATATTTATAGATTTCAAAAGAGATCCTGTTGGGTCTTGTGCCTGTTGTTTTACAGATCGCTACTGAAGCCATAGAGAACTTCCGCACTGTCGTCTCTTTGAATCGGGAGCAGAAGTTTGAAGACATGTATGCTCAGAGCTTGCAGATACCATACAAGTAAGAAGCCCTGAAGAGTGGGCCAGGGCTCTGGGGGGTTTTCTAGTGAGGACTTCTGTTCTCAGGATCGCTTTTGCCAAAAGGTAGAGTGAACAGAAGAAAGTACTAGAAGGAACGCCTGAGACTATCAAGAGAGATGAAGAGACCTGAGCTTAGGCAGGGGCATCTGTGAGGTAGAGCAGTGAGGGCTGGTGACACTGGGGAGGTCAGAGAAGAGGACCACGGGTAACGCCTCTGGTGTCCAGTCGGGATGATGACCCTGCTGTTTGCCGTATTCGGGGGGAGGGTTCTCTATGGAGGTGTTGTGGGACACTGAGGGGATCTCTCCAGGATACTTTCTGCTCCTTCCTTTCCTGGGGAGACCTTCTCTTCTCCCTGTACCCCAGCAGTACCTATGACAGCTCTGAAGGAAAGGTGACCAGGACACTAGCGAGCCCAGCCTCGGAGTCTCAGCTCCTCCTCTAGGACAAGGAGAGAACTAAACCTCTCTTGAAGGTTTCCAGGCACCTTTGTCATAATCATGGCAGGCCCTCTTTTTCTGAGGAAAGTTTTCATTTGAAATCCCAGTAAGTTGCCAGGTGGTGGTGGTGCAAGCCTTTATTCTGAGCACTTAGGAGGCAGAGGAGGGTGGATCTCTGTGAGTTCCTGGTCTACAAGTTCCAGGACAACTAGGACTTACACAGAGAAACCCTGTCAAGAAAGAAAGAAAGAAAGAAAGAAAGAAAGAAAGAAAGAAGAGAGAGAGAAAGAAAGAAAAGAAAAAAGAAAAAAGAAAAGAAAAGAAATCCCAGTAAGTGGCAAAGACAAGAAAGTTGGTGGTTTTAGCAGGATAGGAAGGTCAAGGGGCTGCCCATCCCCACCCTTTTCCTGCCCTCACCTCACACCCAAGATCCTTGTTCAGACATTCCTGGAATGTTAATGCTTTGTAAAGCCTCCCTGGCTCTAGGCACTTCAGTGCCTTTTGCTCCCCCCCCCCCAAATTTCCTGGCTGCTTTGTTGCTGTACACCTCATCTAGATCCCCACAGGCAAGGTCAGGCCTGCTGCTCTGCCACCCACAGCTGGAGGGTGTTGGGTAGATGTGTTGATTCCCCAAGTGGGGGTGGGGGGGGGGAAATAGGGAAGGACCATTCATTTGTTAATGTAAAACAGGCTCTTCTCAGGGTTACAGGTCTGGTTATAAACCCACTAAGACATAATAGTCCTACACTAAAGACGCATTCACCCCTGCCTCTGTATCTCAGAGACCAAACCGGTTCAGTTAAAGGGCTCAAGCTGAATTCTTTAGAAATGGAATCCATTGTATCTGTTCCTCTTGTGTGTCCCTCCACCAGCCCACAGGAAGTTACTTGAATGACTGAGGAATGAAGTGGGGTGAATTTGGGTTTTCTTCTTTCCAGAAATGCTTTGAGGAAAGCTCACATCTTTGGGATCACGTTCTCCTTCACCCAGGCCATGATGTATTTTTCCTATGCTGCGTGTTTCCGGCTTGGTGCCTACTTGGTGGCTCATGAACTGATGACTTTTGAAAATGTTATGCTGTAAGTATTGGGTTCTTAAACAGACAATTATTTGATATATTGTTTTGTTCCAAGCTTTTGAACCAATGAAATTTTATGGAACAGCACATTTGTAAAATACTTCTAATTAGTAAAGGCCAGAGGTGAAAGTGAAAGACCCTCTGGACACCCCCCCCTCCCAGAACCCGCAGCTGGCCTGCTCCCATGAGAACATCCTGTTCGCTTAAGACCCTCAGGACCCTCTCAGGACCTGCAGCTAGCCGGCTCTCATGAGAACATCCCGTTTGCTTAGGGAAACAGGATGCCTATAGTCAGCACATGTGCCCAACTTAGAATATCAGTAATTCACAGAAGAGACAACTCCCCCTATGAAAGATCCCAGCTTGGCTGCTGTAACGTCATTTCACAAAGCTTTTGACGAACGACTGTAAGTGCAGAGTAAGGTCAGGGTCCCTGGCTGCAAAACAGGATATTTATATCCATAGATTCGGACAGGACATCAATTAACAGGATGTCTGTTCCCATACATCTGTGCTGGGAAAAGGAAAAACCCCCTGTGCCCCTTGCCCCATTCCAACTGACCACTAACAATGCATTTGCTTCTGTAATCTGCTTCTGCTGCCCTCTTTCCTATAAAAAGACCTTCCCCCAGTCTGCAGGCGCGCTTGTCTCCCGAAAGACTAAGCCGCCCCAGGTACCTGTGTACTCAATAAAAGCCTCTTGCTGTTTGCATCCGGAGAGTGGTCTCGCTGTTCCTTGGGAGGGTCTCCCCAGTCTGAAAGACTGCCTACCACGGGGGTCTTTCATTTGGAGGTTCCACCGAGATCTGGAGACTCCTGTCCAGGGATCACCGACCCACCACCGGGAGGTAAGCTGGCCAGCGATTGTTTCCCCTGAATATCAGTGTTTCAGTGTATCCGTGTTTCGGTGTTCTGTGTTTGCGCTTGCGACTGACTCTGTACTAGTTGGCTGACTAGGTCTGTATCAGGGCGGACGCGGAGGAGCCGACGGGCTCGCACTCCCGACCGCAGCCCTGGGAGACGTCTCAGGGGCATCTGGGGCTGGATGTGGTGCCTGGCCCATCGGTAACTCTGTGAATCCTTACCGAATAGGATTGTTTGGGGCGCCCCCACAGTCCGAAGGGTACGTGATTCTTCTGGGAGACGAGGAATCCGGATCCTCAGAGTCTCCGTCTGAAATTTTGCTTTCGGCATTATGCCGAAACCGCGCCAGCGCATCTGTATTGTCTGTGTATTTTTGTGCTTAATATGTTCTTTGTTTTGTATATCTGTTTGTACTCGAGTCTAAATCTGGTACCATGGGGCAGTAAATAACCATCTCTTTGACCCTAACTCTATGAAAATCCAAAAGAAATGCAGACAGTCTGCCCTTCCTTTACTTCTCTAGGCTCTGCTGCTGAACTGCCCTGCTTGCTGTCGCGAGGGGGGAGGGAACAGGACTGTGATCTCCTGAGGCACGGCCTGGAGCCAGGCCTAGGCGGGGCAACTGGCTCCAGCTCTGAGCAAACCTCTCAGCAGGACGCAGGGCGGGGCATGGCAGCAACCCTGGCCCGAGTCAGAGAAGGGGGCAGCCCTGAAATCCCTGTGCTGAAAATGACGTCCTCCCTTGCTGACCTGAAGTCCACCAGCACCGCACGGGAGGACTGGGGGAGGAGGGCTGCCTTAGACAGTCCAAGGTGTTCCCTCCCCCTACAGCCAATGCAAAGGCCTTCCCAGCTGCTACTGGCAGTGTGAGGGCTAAGAGGAACTGAGTGGACCAATCCTGACCTCACAAGTTCCCTGGAGGGAATGCCTCCTGGGGCCTCTGGAATCCCATTCAGAGAAAAGCTGCTAGATTGCTGTGAGTATAGAGATGGGATATGGGAAGCTTGTGCTATACAACTAGGAGCTCACTGTGGACAGAGCTGAGGCTGAAGCCAGGTCCTGGGAGGATCCCCAGTGGGGTTCCCTGTGGAGAAGGCTTGTTTTCCTTAGAAAATAAGGTGCTAGAGACTGAATGGCAGCCCCCATCTGCAAATGCCATGTAAAACCTTGTACTAAAGATCTGTGGCCCTTGCGCAGGGGAAATAGCTGGTGCTAGCGCCAGGGTCACAGAACTAAGCCTGGGAACCTGCAGTAGGCTATTTCTCTGGGGTCGGATACCCTATTAAAAAGCAAAGGTCCCCTAAAGAACCTGGACCTTTCCATTTTGGCAGTAGGGCAAGAGATTGCAAGTAAATTTCCCTGTGGCTGTTGATAAATGATAAGTGTGGATTCAGGAGTAGTAGCTAATGGAATAAGCTGACATTAAAAGGGCCTGCCAGCCCTAATAACATCTGTCTTCTGGGGATGCTCTATACCAGTCATCATGTGCTGCATCCAGGTAAAAGCCTCTGGTTTAAAAATTGGGAAAATTAAATTAAGTCACTTTAAAATAATATGCTTATAAAAAAAAAAAAACTACTATGCAGTGTGTCTAGAAGAAAAGTAAATTCCCAGTTCTGTTTAGATGGATGCAGGACTACACTGTCTTCAAGAACTATTGCTGTAGAAGGCCTGGCACAGGGCCGGGGCCATATGAACAGCCCAGCTGAGCTTCTAAGCCAGCCCATGTTTAGATCTGAATTTAACACTTGTCTGCTCACAATGCTTGTGATAAGGTGGGGGCCCTGAGTTGCCCCACAAGACAAAGATCTGCTAAAGCCCCTCACCCCACTACAATGGCAAAGGGGGTGTTACTAAATGATGAGGTTGAGTTAAAATGGTCCTTTTGACTCTTTATAATGTTTATGGCTATTTAAAAAAAAAAAAACATGGCGAAGATTCTCATTTATTATTAATATAAAAAAGGTGCATTTTGAGTTGTTTTCAGATTCTGTCAATGATAATATAAAGGATGTCGCTAAGTTTTTAAGGTAATATGTTATCTAATTTTGAAAGTCCACCATGCTAATGTTCAAAGTAGCTGTAAGCATAAATTGTCAAATGATATTTTTAATCTTGGTCAGTTTTACAAGAATAAGATAAAATCTCAAAATTGTTTAATTTGCATTTCCCTGATGATTAAGGATGTTATATTTAAACAAATTTTAAATATCTTTCAGTCACTTCAAGTTCATTTGTTGAGAATTTACAGTTTTGGTCTGTGACGTAATTGTACTAAAATATTTGTTTTTATGAGGATTAAGTTCCTAAGTTCCTTATATGTCTCATGATACCTCCCCATTCTACAGGTTGATATTACGTTCTGTTGATTATATCCTTTGCTAAAATAAATTTTAAACTTTTTTCCTTCTATAAAAGGTTCAATATTGTTGGTTTTATGTTAAGGTCTTTAATTTGTTTGGATTTCAGTTTTGTGCATAGAGAAAAATATGGATCTATCTTCATTCTTCTAAAGGGAGAAACTGACAGTCAAAATGCTGGGCTCATGGCAAATCTCAGGCGGGGGCTGCAAGGCACCCCACTAATTCGGCTGAGATAAGAGAGGTTCTCCAGGGGCCAGTTAAAATCTGTGTTCCTTAAATGATTAATGAAAGTTTACAGGCATTTTACCCAACCTCTGAAGGTCAGCAGACAGCAGTAGCCACAAGAGAGAGAGAGAGAGAGAGAGAGAGAGAGAGAGAGAGAGGCGGGAAGCAAAAGAAAGATAGGACTCAGACAGATTAGGAGCCTGGGCAACAGAAGATCAAAGACAGATAAAGAGGGACAGCAACAGAAGATCAAAGACAGATAAAGAGGGACACTGGAACTGAGTAAAGAATACAAACTGGACACCTTACGAACTATAAATTTGGGAAAAAGACAAATAAATGACTCGTTCCTCCCTGGTCACTTCTGAATGTATGACCAAAGCCTTTTGTTGACCAAACGAGGGACTTTTGCTTTCGCTGCTGTTTTCAGTTCTGCAGGAGACACAGGCTGCTTGTCTGCCTCTGTCTCTACCACGCCCTCCTCACCAGGACGACCACCTCTCCTGCCTTCACTGCTGAAGAAATCCTCACCTCCTAGCAACTGCCTTGGTGCTGTGCTTGCTCTAAAGCCTGCATGAGCCCTGACTGCTCACTCTACAGTCTTGCTCCCCTCACCCATGTCAGACTGCGATACAGCAGTCACCATGCTACCACAGGTGCCCTCCTGTGCCAGACTACTGCTCCTGTGCTGGGCTGACGTCGATGGACTATGGATCCTACCAGCATCTGCCTAAAGGACAGGCGAATGGCAAAATGGCAGGCTAAGCTGTGCCAGGCAGAGCCGAAAATGAGGGTGAAGCTTGCCAGGGGTACAAGGCTGGCGGTCCGAGCTAAGCAGGTACAGAAGACCGAAGGTAAGCGGAAGGCGGGGGCAACATTGGTGGACAGGAAGCAAATGATCTGGGCCAGTAGCCTCCCCTCAGGGATGGCGGCCCGACCAGAACGCTGAACTTGTGGCTTTGATACAAGCTCTACAGATGGCAGAAGGAACGTCTATACTAACAGCAGGTATGCTTTTGCCCTCACCTATATATATATATATAAAGCAATATACAGACAAAAAGGACTGTTGACATCTGCGGAAATTTTGAGCCTCCAGGAGGCCACGCATTTGCCAAAGAAGATAGCCATCATACATTGACCAAGATTGAGACACCCAATGTAATGGCTAAGAAGATCAGAAAAAAAAATCATCCTAAGGTTTGGGATGGCCAAGATAATCATGTCCCATAATAGGCCTGCCTTTGTTGCCCAGGTAAGTTAGGGTGTGGCCAGGACATTGGGAATCAATTGGAACTTAAGCTTACCAACCCCAAAGCTCAGGTCAGATAAATAGGATAAGTAAGATTCTAAAAAAACAAATTGATATAATTGGCCCTGGAGACCAGCAAAAATGACTGGACAGACCTCCCTCCCTCCTGTCCTGTTCTGGGTTCAAAACACCCCGGCATCGTTGCCACTAGCTCTGTTGCCTGGCTAGTTAGCTGCTGCTCATGTATCTGCTGACAATGGTTGACCTTGATGATGGAATCCTGAGCTCAAGGCTTGCACAGG